AATATATGTATTATGTTACATTTATTTATGTTTTTTAATTTTGTTTTAAATTTTTTTATTTATAAAAAATATTAAAACTTGCAATTTGGGGCCAAAAAAGGTTTTTTTTTTTTGCAAAAATAGCAAGGCAAGGAGCATAATGCCCCTGGGACGTATAGATCTTGAAAAGTTACTCAAAAAAAAAAAATATAACCCCAACCATACATCGGAGTGCAAAGTTATAGCTTACAAAAGTTTGGACATAATTAAGTGCGCAACCTGCGACTTGGTTTCTAGGTCGAACAAGTTAATGGTTGCACCGCCCAAGTTAGATGGTTTTTAACCAAAGGGGGGGGTCAACAGAACCAAATCTAGAATCAAGGCTGAGTAGCGGTTTGAACGGTTCAATTAGGCAAGTCAACAACAAGTTGAAAACATTGATTATAAATAAGAAATGTTTTTATTAAAGATGGAAATGAAATGTCAAATTTAAAACCAATTGAAAGTATAACTATTTTCCTATTATCTCTCATTAAGTCTCATATCTAAGGTATATTCTCTTATTAAATCATATATTTAAGATATATTTTTCTCATCATTAAATTATACTAATTAAATCCACAACATTAATTTTAATAATATAAAAATAAAAATTTTAAAAAATAATTTGAAAATAAAACCATTTTCTCCCCTCTTGGTGGTGGGTAAGCAATTCAACCATTTGGGGTCAAATCCGTTAATGAATAATGCTATAATTAAATAAATAAAATATATAATACAAAAAAAATAAATGGGCATGTCATTAATATTGTATATTCATTATACTGAACAAAAATACGTATGAAATGTAAGAAATATTTTTGTAAATGATGAAAATGGAGTTCCAAAATTAAAATCAACCTAGAAATAAAATGATGTCATAGTCAAATAATAAAATTTTAAAAAATAGAAAATACACCGAATAACAAAACAAATATTATACATAAGATATAATTTTATTAATAATTGAAATGTAATACAAAATTTAATGTCAACCTAAAATCAAACTATTTTTCTTTTTGGGTCGTGGGTTAGTGGTTTGGGTCAAATGGATTAATCGATGATATAATAGTTAAATAATAAATATTCAAAAAATAATAAAAAAGTAGAAGTAATCAAAAGAATATATAACAAATATATATTATTTATGTCTAACAAAAATTAAGTGTGATAAGTAAAAACTATGAAATATATAATTAAAAATTGATATGAAAGTAAATCTATTTTCTTATTTAAATGGTGGGTCAATGATCAAACTTTTCAAAAAAATTCATGATGCCATAATTGAATAATAAATATTTAAAAAAAGATAGAACACAAAAGATAAAAAAGTACAGAGTTTTGTCAAAGACATTTCAGAACTTTTCTAATGTTATAATCATCATATTAAATAAAAATAACTGTTAAAATAATTTTTTTTTATTTAAGAAAGAAATGGAATACAAGTAGTAGTAGTAGTAATAATAATAAAAATAATTTAAATAAAATAATAATAATAATTTTTATTGTAATTTAAAATTTCTGCAGGTGCACATTTAGTATAAGTATTAAGTTTATTTTTAACCATATTGTTACTATTAATTTTTAATTTCTATCCTAATTATGATATACTTAAAATTAAAGTAGTTAACAGGAAAAAAATCCATATGTGCAACAACGCATGTGCTTAATTACTAGTTATTAGAAAAGTGTGGGAAATTGAGCTCTAGCCTTAAACCACAAAATAAAATAATTTCATAATGCTAATCTCTATACTGGGCAAGTTATTCTCAACTTATTTGTCAACGGTTGGAAATTATATAAATATTCTCACCCAAGTTTTAGCTTTGAACCAATGAGTTGGATTTTGCTTATCTTGAATCCTTTGCTGCCCGAGCATTGCTCCCTGCTTTTAAAGTAGTAAAGTAGTAAAGTAGTAAAGTTAATAGATGCACTCCATCAGCAGAAGAGGGAAATAAAGAAAATTTTGTACTTATGGTCCATCTTGTTGCAAATGGATTGGATTGGATTTCCATAATTTGGATTTGGATCGGGAATAAATTTTGGATTTAAATTATTGGGTATTGTATATGGTATTTCTACACCTTGTATTTACAGTGTACATATTTGTATTTGCACTCTACCCAAGGATAAATTAGATAAGAGTGCAAATATAAATAAGTACATCGCAAATACTGGTATTGGCATGCAATCCTTCAGTGTAGAAGATCAAAAACCTTTTTCTTTTTAGTCAAAGTAATGTGACTTTGGCACCTATAGGGGCAAGGTTCTACACGCTAGATCCAATTAACGGGGTTAGTGGGTTAATGGTCGCAAGGTACGGACATGTATGGGCCTATGGGCCCTCTAGCCCTTACTATAAAGCTTGCCCTTTTGTGGGTTTGAATCCATGCCTTCTCAAGGGAGGGATGTGGATGACCAATGAGCTACCAGGTCATCGGCTACCCATGTGTTGGTATGCACTGTAAAATATCAAAGTCCTTTTTATTTTGTTGGGTGTACAAGTAAGAGTACAACTTGGATTGGGCTTTTGTTAAAATTTGAATGGGCTGGATCGAAGGTCCGAGCCCTTTCGATCCAGCCTGATGCAGTATAATATGCTAATTTGGGCCAACTCTAAGTTGCACTCTTGGAACAAGTGACGAAAGTTTGGCCCCACGGGGGGGAGGGGGGTGGAGTGTGGCAGAGTACATATACAGGCCCACTGACATTCACTCCCTACATGGAGAGACTGCCCTTCTGTGGGTTTGAATCCATGCCTTCTCATGTGGCATTAAATGTGTTCTCCACAATGTTGATGGGTCACTTCCAAACAGGATCTTTATCACATTTTTGTGAGCCCCACTTAGGATTTGATTAGTTCACTCAATTTCCCCGGACAGGAAGGCAAATAACTGCATAACCTGCCTAAGCTGCACTGCATGATAGAGCAGGTGGGGGTCCAACTTTGGGCTCATCATTTATCAAACCAAGAAACACTTGGTACCCGTTTCTGAGGGCTTTTTACATTGTGGGTTTTGGGTTTGGCTTTGCAAGTTGGGCCCACTTGGGGAACTCTGTAAATAATGCTTGGTGAAAATTTTGGAGAGTAAAATTTAATCATCATGCAGCAATTTATATGGCTCACTTCAAAAAGCCACTTCCACCTTAGCTTCTTGAAAACGGCTGAGTCAAAGCATCTACATATAAAAACCCCAAGCCCTTCCAAATGGGCCTTTGAATGATAAGCTTTTCCCACAAAAGAAAAAGAAGAAGAAGAAAGCCAATGAAGATTGTGAATCTCTTTTTTTTTTTTTTTTTAATGTTAATATCATTTTTTACCCCCCTCAAAAAGAAAAAAAAAAGAAAAAGAAAAAGAAAAAAGAATGATAAACATTTTACTTAATTACTTTCATTGGTTTAAGGCCCATTACTGAGGCCTCATGCTTTAGTTGAGCTACTTAACAATAGATGCCTCCGAGTGACAAGAAAGGAATTGCAACTTAACAATTGAGGTGGGAGCTAAAAACGACAGCCACCTCTGGCTTTCTGCATTTTTCACCAAGAATTGCTTTTGGCCTTTCTCTATCTCAAAGTCAGTGGAAGTTTCAGACCGGCAGACCCCATCTGGTCAGATAGTTGTGCTGTTAGCCCATCAACATGTAAAAGTTGGGTCCATAGTCTGCGGTTGTGGGAATAGGGATCTAGAATTGGAATTGCAGTGGTCCATTCTAATTCCAACCGTTTGATTGGAGCAGAAATGGAATCCAATTCTCATTTTTGGTGGAATAGCAATTCCCCATTTGAATCCTCGAATGAGAATTTCATTCCAGTCAATTTCGGTTCTGATTCCCACCATGAACCAAATAGACCCTATATCTGTCTGGATTTTGTAATGCTGATTTTTAGAGCCTTTGCCATAAAGAATGAAAATGAATGTTCTTCTGGAGAATGGTATAATGAAGCATGTCAAGCCCTGAATAGTCCTAATTTCCTACTAATATCTCTATGAAAATTCACATATTCATGCACCTTTACTCAGAAGTTAAGTGTTGTCCCAACTCCTTTAGCCCATGTTGTACTTGTGTTGCACATGCAAAGACAGGTCCACCGGGTGACTCTATTCCTACCCAATCCCATTCCTTTGCACCATCAACAAAGTATGGCCCGATAATGTAATAAAAATCTAAAGATTAGGTGGCAAGTCCTGACCCGACCCATTTGAGTTGTTGAATTACCCATCCCCATAAAAAATGGTCAACCCGGGCCCAACCCAACTTGATTCTGGGTTGTCTTGACCCGGTTTATATATGTCTCAATTTCAATCAGTGTCTCAATCAGGATTTTGTCTCCATTTGAACCCGTCCTTACCTAACCAATTGCCACCTCTAACTAAGACAAAGCTGGGAGGCCCATGGATGAAGGCGACGCTACAAACAATTGTGGTCCAATAATCTCCAACTTGTGAGGGGACCGGGTTCAACCATTCCATGTAGGAGATACAGTCCTGACAAACATACAATGTCTACATGCATCCTCACCTTTTACATCCATGACCCATCGTTTCACGGTCCACCGGAATCTCCCGTCGGCAAATCAAGGCACGTGTCACCCGGCAGAGAACATGTGAACCCACATATAACAGGGACTACTTGCAGCCATTGAGAGCTAACATGAAAGCCCATCCAAAAATCCTTAATGGGGCTTTGCAAAACAAGTTTCTCATGAGGACCATAATTTTGGGCCTGGACTTATAGCATGTAAACCGTCCAAAACACCCAGATTTTAGGGACTAGCAAAAATTGATAGCTCTCAGGACCATCTTATCATTTCCTTTATGTGCCACCAGTCACTACTGCACAGTGCACAAGCATATTTTTGTTATTATCTCATAGTGTTTATAGATCATAGTTACAGTATACAAGCTTAAACCATTAGATTGCGCCTATAAAAGCAGTTGAAAGATATCTCTCTTTCTCTCTCTCTCCAGAGACAAGAAAACATTGAACTCATGTTATTTTGGCACCTTTCAAATAATATAAGATTTGATGGGTACAGAGACTAGTGAAGCCCTAGATTATTATGTACTCAATCATCAAAACAGTGTATGAAATAATAGAATATATTACTATATACAAGATCTACCCTAACCCTAAAAAAGCAACAACATTTTCTTTCTGTGATATTTTCCAAACTCTCTTCTCCTTTTCTATCTAAAGAGCCTTCTAGGGGTGTTGCCAACTTTCAGTTATGAATAGGAGGTTTCCTCCCTGCAGGAGAATAATCCATCCCCGCTATGTCTATGATGTCAGGATAGTGCTCCGGGGTGGCTCCTCCGTGCTCGGCAGGCAGCGGCGATGATTTAACGGAGAAGTTCTCTTCATTGCCGCCGAACCCTTTGTTGCTGTGGTTCTTCGACTTGGGGTCGATTTCAGTACCTCCATTCTTCTTCACACTCTGTAAGTAGAGCAAGCGATCATATTAAGAACAAAGAAAGAAGAGAATGGGTCTTTATTTAATGCCTTTATGTTGCAAGAATCTGAGTTTTGTTTTTGTGACAACACAAACCTTTGAAGTAGTTGTTGTAGATGTAGAAGTAGAGAGTGTCTGGGTCATAAGTTTTCTACTCCTCCCTGCACCAACAGATACAGAACTGCTAATTAAGATTTGATTCAAACAAGGACATAAATGTTTTGCATGCAATTTCTTATATATTGGTTGGTGTTATTTTCTGGGTTTTGAGAGAAGCTTCAAAGAAACTTCTCATTCTCATCTGGGAGCAGAAATTGCTTTGTAGAATGTAGAATACATTACTGTAATGGTTTTGTTTCTTGCGAAACCCAGTTATCATCAGATTCAGTCAATCCTAAATGCGAGAACTAGGAATCAGAAATGGAGTACAGTAGAGAGATTTTAATGGTGCTTAGGGCTGTGATTCCTAGGCCCAAGGTAATCTTCATGAATGGTCGGTAGATTGTGATGGATTTCCTGGGCTACTCTAGAAAATCTTCTCTTCGTGGTACCTGAACAGTGCCCGTCTCTACATAGAACGACCTCCCCAAGACCACCGCTACTTGCTTCAATCAACCTACTTTCCATCTCCTCCTGCAACCATACCAAAGCATTTCGCCATTAAAATCAAATCTAGAATACTGAAAAAGAAATCAGAAAAGTTCCGAACTGACTTCATTTCATCGTTAAAACATGAAAATTCAATACCCACCTGGCTTTTCTTCTGAATAACTGATTTTAACCCTTGTTCCAACCGAATTCCTTCAAACAAAAAGAAAACCAAATCAGATATAAAGTTCAAACAACAACCACACTCTTCCGTTCTCAAGAGCTAAAGCATACATACCTTGAGCCCCAACAAAGAGCAGTAACAGAAGAGAGACTAACAAAGCAGGCCTCATTGCAGAAAAGCTAAGATAAGAATGGGAGAGGAAGAACAAGACTGGAGACTGGAGTTTCAAATCTGGGAGACAGAAGTTGGGGGGGGGGGGGTTCTTTATTTCGTTTCTCTTTCACTCCAAGAGCTTTGAAATGTTCAATACTCGGTGAATGGCGGATAACATGCCGACTTCACAACTTCAATGCCATATATATAGGCCCTTCTTCCAAAAGTTATGAACTTAATAAACAAATTTGTTCTCAACAAAAAAAATAAAAAAGGAGAGATGTAAAAGGACAAGTGAGAAAAAGTACAATAAGCCTTTCTAAATTTCCTTAAGGGTGGATACCCCTCTTGTCTCCTAAAGACATGCTGCATTACTACATCTCACACCCCCCAAGCCATGTAATTTGTCTCATCTCCACCCCAATCAGCACAAGGCCCCGCCAATTGGACGGGCATGATCAGGTTGATTCAGAATTGCAACAATTCTATTTCCAAATCCTTGGAAATTTCTCACAAGTTGATGTGAAATTGTTTTAGTGCTGTCAATTGGTCGGGTCTGATTTGGGACAGGGTGGATCAGTTCTGAACCGATTATTAATCAGTTTTATATATAGACCCAGAACTGAACCCAGCGGCCGAGCCAAATATATTGGTGGGGTCCTTGACCCCCAAACTTTCCGTCAAAACTAGCAAGTGGAGGCAGGGTTAAAAACTAGTGAAGTGGGTTCTTGACGCTTTCAAAACTTGAACTGAAAGGTTAAGGATCACTATCTTCTAATGCTTCTCCAACTCCAAAAATTAAAAAATGTTTATTTATTTTTTAAAATCTATAATATACTCAAACCCTCCCACTATTTCTTATTTAACTTGACTTTCCTAAACTAATATATATTATATATATATATATATAATTTGACTATGATGCCGAAAAGACATAATATTAAAAAACTTATAATCAATCAATGGACATCTTAAAAATGATAGCTAATGGGGTGGATTTTCATTAAAATTCATAAAGAATTTTGATCGATTAAAGCCTTTATAGTATATCATATCTTATAACAACTTGAATCTTTAATTTTGATAGTATAACTCTAATAAAAATGACAATAAATAGTAAATTGTTTATATACAAATACAACAAGTATTTTAACCAAAATTGTCTTATATATTCTTTTAAATTGGCCCTTTTAAACATAAAATGTAATAAAATAACATATAATTGATTTGGGTCTCACTCTGTCTGAAAGAGAAAGAACGAGTCCCGACCCAATAATCAAAAATTAATTTGGATAAACCCGACCCATTGACAATCTTAAAATTGTCAACTGCTGGATCTGACTTATGGGAACTGCAATAAATTAATCCGGACTTTTTGGTAATTATAAAACATTTTCTTTGCTCAGCCAAAAATCTAGATTTATGTTTTCATCCAAAGAAATTAAAAATGGAATAATGGAAATATATCATTGGATAAATCGGCAACCATTCTGTATTTAATGGAAATAAATGAGTTGTGCCACATCAGCAGACAACAGCTCAGGGGAAGTCGCTGCCCACGTGTAGAAGGGAACAACTGGAGTAAATTTGACGGCGACAGACGGCGTTGAAACTCGTCGTTCATGACGCCTATTCGTGTAACTGTCGCCGTTAACCGAGGCTGGTAGTTTTGTGACTTTTGTCTTTAGCTGCCTTCTTGAACACTCCACGTGGATGTCAATATCTCGTCTCTACAACGAAATGACGTGGCATGACAAAGTTCCACGTCGGCAACGTCGGCTCACGCGGTCTGTCTTCGCTTTGTTCAGCAGGGAGAAAACATCTGGCGACTTCTGTCGCGCCACAGTACAGACTTCTCTCAAATCTAACAGCGACAGCTCTTCTATGGTCCGCTTTTCTCTAGCCATTTGATCATCCTCATGGCCCCACGTATCACGATTGAATAGATTGATTGCATAAGGCGGGGTCCTCATAAGTATGGCAACAACGTGGAGATTGGCTTATTCTCCTAACAGAAAAACCGTTCAACATGATCTCTATCCCCATATCTCACCATGAGATTGAGGCCACATGTCTGAGATGTGCGGACACATTATGTTGGAACGTGTTGTAATGTGTTTTTTTTTTTTAGGGGTGAAAATTATTAGGTTAAAATTGAAAAATCGAGTAAAATTTCGGTTTTGATTTTTCGGTTTGATTTTTTTGGGTTTTGGTTAATCCAATTCAATTAATTTGGTTTGTAAATATTTTTATTTCGATTTTGATTTTTAGAATTAGAATTTCGGTTAATCGAATAAATTAAACTTTAATATATAATATGTAATATGTAAAATATAATATATAATATATTATATATTTATATATTAATATATAATATAATAAAAATTGATTCCATAATATATATTATAATATATAATATATATTATCTATTATAACATATATAATATAGTATATATAATTAAAATTTGATTTTAACCAAAATAACCAAAAACAGAATAAAAAAAATTAATTTTGGTTATTTCAATTTTCTTTATAATTCGATTTTGGGGGCAGAATTGGAATGCCAAGGTAGTTAAAATAGGCCAATTAGGGTTGAACCCAGTCAACCAAATAAATATGAGGTTTTTTTTTGGTTTAAGGTTCTCACTACTCTCAGAGCCGGTTGATGAATTTAAAACAAAAGCCTGTCAATCCAATTTTGATACATTTCCGGATCTTTGATCACCGAACCTTTTATTACCTGGTTCGCTCATCTGGTCCAGCACGGGTTTATTTATGAATATCAGCAGGAATATAGATTATCCCTAAATTCGATATTGTGTATTTATTGTCGAATCAAGCTGGTCCGATGGTAGAACCACTTCAGTACATGAAACACATGGCCGAGAGATATGGCGCCCTGAACCGGAGTACGCGTCACAACGCTCTCATTGTCAAAATGTTTGCCCAAAAGTCGAACACACATGCTCTCAATTTACAAATATTGGCCGACAGAGCGACATCACATTCTTTAGAGAAGACAATGGATCCAAGAGCTAGTCCAATCCACTTTAGAATTTTTCTTGTATGTTTCATAGTCAAAGCATCTATACATACATGGTTGAAGGTGTTTAGAAGAAGCCTATTTTTTATCGAGGTCCTAACTCCAAAGTTCAACAAACTTAGAATCCAAGTCCCAATGAATTCAGTTCATCTACGCTGTGGTTCAAACTTCAAACTTTAAATGGGGGAATTATTTAGCAAAAAAGACAAAACTTTAAACTTTGGGGAATCATTTTTATATGGGAAATATCCTGTATTTTGGTTTGTGTAATAATTTGCTCTCCCAACTTTAAAATGCAATAATTCAGTACCCAAATTTTAAAATGTGAAAATTTAGTATTCGAACTTTCAAAATGTGATAGTCTAGTATCTATCGTTAACCAGTCCGTTAATAAGCCGTTAAGTGATATTTGAAAAGTCAAAAATTTCCTTCAAATGCCATCTAATTCTCTTTATCAATTATCTAAACATTGACAATAAAATGGACAGTCCCAAATTCTAGATTCTTCTAAACAATCACCTAACTTTTTTGAATAGAATAGGCTAGGATTTGGGACTGTGTTCAGATTTTTGTCAATGTTTGGATGGTTGATAAAGAGAATTAGATGGTATTCAAAGGGAATTTTTGACTTTTCAAATATCGCTTAATGGCTGATTAATGGACTGGTTAACGACAGGTATTGAATTGTCACACTTTGTAAATTCGGGTACTGGATTGTTATATTTTGAAAGTTTGGATACTGAATTGTCGCGTTTTAAAAAGTTTGGGGGGCCAAATTGTAACTCGAACCAAAGTATAGGGTATTGATAAGGAATTTTCCCTTTTTATATTTTTTGGTGAGAAAAAATTGAGAAATTAAGGGGGTGGGGGCAATAAAATGCATGTAGGGTCCACTAATATTTATTAGTGAGATTTTGTACTTATGTTTTGGAATGGTCATCTTAACTATTTACAAAGTTAAGATGACCATCTTAACTATTTAAGATGGTCATCTTAACTATTTACAAAGTCCAATAAAATGAATGGTCATCTTAACTATTTAATTATCAACAATTTATTGATATATGCTAGGCCAAATTAACAGGATTAGTGGTGGTAGAGATGAATGTACAGATCCACTAACATTTAAGTCTGGATCATCTGTCAACAAAATACATTCCAACATTTTATAATAATGGGTCCTAATTTCATGGTGAGATGTACGGTGTTAAATCAAGTCGGTAGGGGTTGAAATGCATTTTATTGACAGGAAATCCCAATTTCTAACTTTCACTATGGTTGTATTTGTTTTTAGTGGAAAATTCATTGATGCAAAACTCGATGGATGGATTTAAAATTTTAGTGGACCGTTATAATTTTTTGATATGATTGTCAATGTAAATGGGGAGGTTTGCATCGATTATGAACTGATGGGGACCATATAACTTCATATGTAAACCTTATACGAACTGATGATAAAATTTTTACATCTATTCACATTTACAACGAAAACAAACATAGCTTATATGGAAAGATTACCCTTTAACAGATTTAGAATATCTGAATTTGCTTTATCGATAAAGCATGGCTGGGTTGCATGGCCGGGTCTTCTTGGAGCCTAGAAGGTTAGATTCGAAGTGGGGTGGGCTCCTCTTTGTGTGTGATGGTTTGTTTGGAGCTTGAGTACAGCTCCGAATCTTGAAATATAAATGGGTCAAGTTGCTGGCATTCACACCAGCAACAAAAAGATGCTTTGTTGAACTACTGTTCTCCACTTGTTAGTTGTTTTCTCAAGCCTCAAGTTTCAATCTCTCTTGTCTTGTCTTGTGTGGGTGTGATTTTGGGTCGTCTTTGCTAGACTTAGCTAGACAGCTTCTGGATCTTGTTTGGATGGTAAATGCTTTTGTGAAGGACCGCATTAAGGTTGACTATGTTTAATTATTTGGTAATTGTCAGGTTGAATTGTCATTAATTACAGTTTTCTCTCTGACAGGCATGAGTCACCCTGTCAAATATATGGTTTAAAATAACGAAATCATCGATTTTAACAGTGGACAATTGACTATTGTTTTCATCGTAGCAGTGATTGTAAGTTGTAATTAGACCTGTTCATGGGCCGGGCCGGGCTTTTACTG